AGGGTATCTATGTACTTCAGGACAACAAATTTCGTCTGCTTACTCAGATGTCTGCAGGAAAGCAGTATTTAGAACATGCATCTAAGGTATTTAATGGAGTAGAAAATGGGGGTTTTCATAGGGAAAGTATAATGCCAACCTCAACAGACTTTTGAATTTAGAATAGGTTTTAAACTTGTTCTTTTTTAAGCACTTCTCTCTTTTTTTTTTTTTTTTTATTAGAGAGATAGCAAGAGAGGGAACACAAGCAGGGGGAGTGGGAGAGGGAGAAGCAGGCTTCCTGCAGAGCAGAGAGCCCAATGCAGGGCTCCATCCCAGGATCCTGGGATCACGACCTGAGCCGAAGGCAGACGTTTAACGACTGAGCCACCCAGGCGCCCCTCTTTTTTTTTTTTTTTTTTTTAAGATTTTATGTATTGGGATGCCTGAGTGGCTCAGTTGGTTAAGCGTCTGCCTTTGGCTCAGGTCATGATCCCAGGGTCCTGGCATCGAGTACCAGAACTGGCTCCTTGCTCAGCGGGGAGCCTGCTTCTCCCTCTGCCTGCCATTCCCCCTGCTTGTGCTCGCTCTCTCTGACAAATGAAATCTAAATAAATAAATAAATAAATATTTTATTTATTTGAGAGAGAGAATGAGCAGGGGAGGAGCACACTCCCTGCTGAGCACAGAGCCCGATGCGGATCATGACCTGAGTGGAAGGCAGATGCTTAACCGACTGAGCCACCCAGGCACCCCTTTATTTAACCTCTTTTCAGTGAAATAGGAGACAGGTGTTCATCATATTAAAATAACCTATATTAACCTCTAGCTGAATAGGCTTATGATGTCTAATTAAACACTATAAGTAAATGCCATTGAAATGTAAATTAATGTTAGATTCTTGAATATAGCAAAAATATATCAAAAAAGATAGTCAAGCTTATAAAACTGGCGTTAGTTGTACGAAATTACTCACCTCAGAGTTTATATTTACAATCTCCTTTAGTTAATTAAGAAAACAATTTTTTAATATTGTTAGCATTTGTTTCTAAGAATACATGTTTTGTGTTAAGTATATCTGTGTTTCTGGGTTTTGTGTATAAGACAACTTAGGTTGTGATTCTTAACTTTTATTTATTTATGTATTTTATTTTATTTATTTGAGAGAGAGTAAGAGAGAGAGCACAAGCAGGGTGAAGGGCAGAGGGAGCCTGATGCAGGGCTCAATCCCAGGACCCTGAGATCATGACCTGAGCCAAAGGCAGATGCTTAACCAACTGAGCCATCCAGGCGCCCCAGCAGTGACTTATTAACAGCAAGGCTTAACTAAATGTCATATTTATCAATAGTATTGCGATCTTAGTAAATCCTTAATATTCTTTACATTTTTGTTCCTTTCAGTATTTAGCATTTACGTGTGGCTTAATCAGAGGTGGCTTATCAAACTTAGGGATAAAAAGTATTGTCACAGCTGAAGTGTCTTCAATGCCAGCCTGTAAGTTGAACTCACATTTCTTAAAAATGTTTTCAGTGATTATTTTTCAAATCTGGTGTTTTTTTGTTTGTTTTTGTTAATTTAGAGAAAATTTAAAATGCTAAAGCCATTTTGTTTTACTTTTATCAATTTTAACATTTAATGTAATATGTAGCATACTTTATTCATATTCAAAGATTTTTAAATTCATAATAGACAGTGATTTAAGAAAGTGTGCTAAAGTAATCCAAATGTATAAGTTTAAGTGGTGATTCTTTTATATATTTATTTTTATTTATTTGAGAGAGAGCAAGAGAGAGTGAGTGACAGAGCACAAACCAGGGGGAGAGGCAGACTCCCTGCTGAGCAGGGAGCCTGATACGGGGCTCGATCTCGGGACCCTGGCCAGGATCATGACCTGAGCCAAAGGCAGATGCTTAACTGGCTGAGCCACCCAGGTATCCCTATGTATTTATTTTTAAGATTTATTTATTCTAGGGGCGGGGGAGGGCAAAGAGAGAAGAAGGGAGTCCAAAGTGGACTCTTGTGCTCAGTGCAGATCCTGACACAGGGCTCCATCCCAAGACCCCAAGATCACAACCTGAACTGAAACCAAGAGTCAGATGCTCAACCAACTGTGCCACCCAGGTGCTCCGGTGAATCTTAACTTTTAAAGGAAAAATTTCTGCATTATTCTTTTAAGATAAATTTCCCTAAAGCATTGAAAATGTCTTTTTTAAAAACAATTTTCTAGAATAAAGCTAGATAAAGCCAACTAGTCTTTTATCGCTAAACTCCTTTCCAAAGGTCTTTTTACCAAAGCTTCCAACCAAGAATAAAATTGACTTGAGCTTCACTATATTTCCTTTCTATTCACAATGATAATAGGCAGTGAAATACCCAAAAGGTAGGAATCACAAAGAGAAGCAAAGACACCTATTCACAAAACAAATAATCATCTCATAAAAATGAAATTGACTTTATTGAGTATTATGAATGAAAAGTATGAAAAGTTGTTTGACATAGCAAGTTTCTTCATTGAAACTACTCTCTAATAGAACAGAAAATTGATGTTTAGGCTTTTTTTCCTTGTACCTAAAAATCAAGGAATGATTTTTCATTTTTCCTTTTTTAGGTAAATTTCAGGTGATGATACAGAAGCTATAAAACATACTGAAATGCAAGGCAAGGCTTCAACAGTGTAAAGAGATAAATTATTCATGTATAAAGTATTTCAAGTAGCAATGATTTAATTACATTATTGGACATTTGTATTGATATAAGGTATTTGCTAACTTATGTAATGAAAGATGCACTCTTAAGCGGGAGTAAGGTTGTAGTTTATTAATTTAACACAGACCTTTTTAAAGCAGATAAAGAGACATTCTATCATAACATAGATTTTACTATAACTATTCAGAATGAAAAACCTGATTTCAAATAACTAAACCCCAAGATGTAGGACCCTTATTTTAAACGTTCTTATTTGCTTATAGTGGTGTGTATTTAACCACAGATAGAGAAGCAGAATTCAGGGTTTGATGAATTAGCATTAAGAAAAGTATGTATCAGTCAGAATCATTTCTGTAAGAATGAACAAATTTTGGTTTTGCTTTATGAATTTTAGTTATTAAGAAAAGCAAACAGTACACTAAACAATTATTTTATTATAATTTATTTCTATTAAGAATTTTTATGCCTATAAGGATTTTATTATATACATTATGTATTTGTGTGTGTGTGTGTATGTGTGTGTGATACATACATCCTATCTAACCGCCTAAATGGCTTAAAAAGTTCATTTTACTTTAACAGAATTTAGTCCTTAATTTTACTTTAATAGAATTCAGTCCTTGAGAGCTCCATTAATGTAATAAGGTGAAATATAGATTAGTTTAAATGTGAATTCAGTGACTCCAGGGCAAAGAATATTAGGTATTTGAGGAAGGAATTTTATACTTACTCCTGTTACAGTCTTGACTTCAGCTTCTCTCCCCATGTGTGGAAGGGCTGGTGAAGGTTCTAATTCTCTAATTACTATTTCCCAAGAGCAGAGGGGTGGATAATTGGATTAGGCACACCAACTTTCATTGGACCCTATCTTCTCAGTGGGTTGGGGTCAGTGCTCATCTTGTATATCTGTCATTTCCTCTTCCATCTGATAACCGGGAGGATAAGCATAAAGATGAAAGCCATCATATTGAGGATAGCAGGATGCACGGATAGAAAGCACCCTAATTGTACTTCTGAATTAACCAATCCTGGAACTGCTTTTTCTTTGGACTTTTTGTTACATGAGATAATAAATTCCTTAACTTGTTCAGTCTACTTTTGGTTCTGTATTTTGTTACTTGCTGTACACCTTAAACTTAAAAAACAATGTTATATGTCAAATATATCTCAAGCTGGGAAGAATGAGTACAGAAATTTGTATGTATAAGGATTTTCACTATTTAAGTGTTCACTGATGGCACTTGATTAAATTATGGTACTGACATATAAGAAAATGCTGTGCAGCTGGTGAAAGGGATGAAATCATGTATTTATGCACATGGAATGCTATTAATTGATGTTAAGAGAAAAAACTCTGTTATAGGATACAGCACATACAATGTATAAATATACATGATTCTGAGTATCAGACCGGAAAGTTACAAGTAAATTGTACAGTGGATGGAGATTTTTGACTTTTAGCTTTTTATTATTTGGGTTTTAAAATAATCATTTGCCACAATAAGGATATTTCTATTTGAGGTGAGAAATCATGATAAATCAGTGATTTTTAAGCTATGTTTTTCTGAGTCCTAGGTTTCACAGGGTGACCTCGGCTGAGAGTTTGGTGGGGGGCAGGGTACAGGCCTAAAGCTAGCGGAAGTCAGGGAGGCTACCTAGTAGAGGCCTTGGGTTTGGGAGAAAGGCATTATAGTGTCATCTGCAGAGAGGATTTATTGTACATCAGGTTGCCCAGTGCCACAGAGAAGAGATTGTTTACTACATGAAAGACAAGCCAGTGATACAGATCAAGTATTTAAGCCACTTGTGCCCAAGGAACCAGGTAAGCCATTGTTTTCTCTTTCAAAAGGGGGACTCTGCGGGTCATCAGCTATAGACCACCTAGCAGAAGGAATACGTCTCCACTCTCGCACAAAGTTGTATCGAGCCTCATCCAAACTGCCCTATTTGGATAATAACCCCTTCTTTGCAGCAGGAGTTCTTGGGAGGAATGTTGGAGAAAACTCTCAGGACTCATACCTGGGACGGGATAGGACAGTGGTGAAAACTCATTTTCTCATAGTATAGGGTTCTGTTTCTTTTAACCTTTTGGGGGCCGTGGACTCCTATTTGGTAGTGTGTTGATGTTAATGAACTCCTCACAATGTTTTTAATGCACAAATAAAATACATAAGACTACAAAGGAAACAATTACACTGATATGTTATCAAAATATTTTTAAAATATGATATATACTTTATATTAAGGGAATATATTTAAAATACAGGCAAAGGGCCAAAAAATAAATGAATAAAAAAAAAAATACAGGCAAGGGGTACCTGGCTGGCTCAGGTGGAAGAGCTTATGACTCTTGTTGATCTCTGGGTCATGAGTTTGATCTGCTCTGTTTCCAGCCTGGGCCGGTTCACCCCTCCATAGGCAACCTGGTGGACCCCTGCTCCTGGGAGGTCACCATATTGATTCCAAACTTAGTGTGGACATCTGATCGGCATAGTGCACTACAGCCCAGAACTCCTGGGCTCAAGTGGTCCTCCTGCCTCCCGAGTAGCTGGGACTACAGGCGCGCGCCACTGTGCCCATGGGTGGTGAGTTTGAACCCCACATTGGGTGTAGAGAATATTTAAACTTAAAAATATATATATATATGTATATATATATAGGCAAGTTAATTTTTTAATAAAGATGAATATGACAGCTGTTGTTTAGCTTGCCTCAGAACCTGTGGGGTGGTCTTGTGGCTCAGTTCCTTCCATTTATAGATCAATCATACATAGGGAATGGTGTAAAGTAATGCAAATACCAATGTCACCAATGTGAGAACATACACCTACAATGTTGGGTGTTGGCTTCCAGGCCTGTGGTTATTTGGTACCAGAAGCTATAGACAGGAAGTCTGCAATCACACATGATCTAGGGGTAGGTTTAATAGCTACCATATTTTGAACTACTGTGTGAATATTCTTTTTTTTAAAGATTTTATTAGAGAGAGCACATGAAAGGGGGGAGGGTCAGAGGGAGAAGCAGACTCCCTGCTGAGCAGGGAGCCCGATGCGGGACTCAATCCAGGGACTCCAGGATCATGACCTGAGCTGAAGGCAGTCGCTTAACCAACTGAGCCACCCAGGCGCCGCTGTGTGAATATTCTAAAATATCTGCAACTACAATTTGATATGAAAACATTAGGACTTCTAAACATTAGGTCCTTGAAAACATCAAGGACCCTTAATGAATAGCTAACAAAGTCACAGTTAGCAATGAATGCTGCTATGGTTTGTTGCCTGTATTTGTAAATGAAGGAAATGCTAAGTAACAGGAGGATAGTAAAAGTAAAGATGTAATTTTTTTCCCATTCAAGTTCATGGACTCCAGGTTAAAAACCTGTTATGAGGGGCACCTGGGTGGCTCAGTCAGTTAACATCTGCCTTCGGCTCAGGTCATGATCCCAGGGTCCTCGGATGGAGCCCTGAGTCCGGGTCCCTGCTCAGCGGGGAGTCTGCTTTTTTCCTCCGACTCTTCCCCTCCCCCCTGCTCTCATGCTCTCTCACTCTCTCAAATAAACAAAATCTTTAAAAAAAAAAAACCTGTTAAGAGGGATAAAATCATAAGATTGGTGTAAACATTGAGATAATCTATGTAAATAGATTAAAGTGTCTGTTGTGTGTGTATATATGGAAATAAAGAGTAAAAACATCACAGAATATTCTGGCTTATAAGCCTATTGCAATTAGAAAGTAGCTTCGATTTCAGTATCCTTTTGCATGATTTCATCTTAATTATAGTCATAAAGGACCCTTAATAGCATACCTGTTTTAAAGAGATGGATTTTTCTTTTTTTTTTTTTTAAGATTTTATTTGACAGAGAGACACAGCGAGAGAGGGAACACAAGCAGGTGGAGTGGGAGAGGGGAGAAGCAGGCTTCCCACCGAGCAGGGAGCCCGATGCAGGGCTCGATCCCAGGACCCTGGGGTCATGACCTGAGCCGAAGGCAGATGCTTAACGACTGAGCCACCCAGGCACCCCGAGCAGATGTATTTTCCAAAAGTAGAAAACTATACTGTATGGGGGTGATGGGGTGGCTCAGTTGGTTAGGTGTCCAACTCTTGACTTTGGCTCAGGGTTGTGAGATCGAGCCCTGCGTCAAGCTCCACACTGGGCATGGAACCTGCTTAAGATTCTCTCCCTCTGCCCCACCCCCTCCCTCTAAAAAAACAAAAACTATACTGTATGAACTATACTGTATACTGCCTATGTAAACTGTTTAGTCAGTGGCTTCTACTAACCGTAATGACACAGCTTGATCTCTCAGGTCTAGCAATACAACCTCATAAGAGGACTTAGGACTGGAGATGTCATCAGAATCAGTCTGGGGGCGCCTGGGTGGCTCAGTTAGTTAAGCGTCTGCCTTTGGCTCAGGTCATGATCCCGGAGTCCCAAATCCAGCTCCTTGCTCAGCAGGGAACCCACTTCTCCCTCTGCCGGCTGCTCCCCCTGCTTATGTTTGCTGTCCCCCCCGCCCCGTGTCAAATAATAAAATCTTTTTTTAAGTAAATAAAATCTTTAAAAAAAAGATTTGAGAGTGAGAAAGAGCATGCATGTGCACGGGGGGGGGGGGGGGGGGGGGGGGAGCAGACTTCTTGTTGGTCCCAGGACCCCAGGATCATGACCTGAGCCAAAGGCAGATGCCCAACCGACTGAACCACTCAGGTGCCCCAGATCTGCAGGTATTTCCAATCCTCTTTTCTCTCCCCACCCCTTTCTTTTTCTTCCTCCTACTGGAAAGACTGGAAAGGCTTACAATTTCATTTCTCCACCTTCCTCAGAGCTAGAGGTGATCATGTTATACTTGTGGCCAACAAATGAACACATATCTTTTGTAAATTTCTGGGGAGTTTTCCTTTTATGAGAAAAGAATCAGATGTGGAAGGCTCTGAGTCCTTCCACCTTTTTCGGTCTTGAATACAGACACATTGCCTTGAACTGCAGTGGCCATCTTGTTACCCTTAAGGGAAAGGCCATAAGACTCTCAGATACATTGGTATTGTGGAGTCATCGACCCAATACCAGTAGCCAGCTCCTCTTGACTTCTGGTTGTGTGAGAAAAATAAATCCCTACTGAAAAACCACTGCTACTTGGATCTTCTGTTAAAGTAGAAAACATTCCTACCTGATAAAGAAATAGGTAAATTTTAAGTGATATGACAAGAGATTTGACAGACAAAACAGATGACTTATTAGGGTATTATACAAAATGATTTAAGAAAGTTTTATGTAATAAAGCAGTTGAAAAGTATTGAGCTTAAAGGGAAAACATTTGATTAGTTTTGTTGCTGACTATGGAAACATTTGCCATTTAACCAATAATCTTAATTCTAATGCTAAGGACATTTATCCATTGTCTTTTGTTTTGTTCAAGAGTCAAAGTAAGGGGCGCCTGCGTGGCTCAGTCAGTTAAGTGACTGCCTATGGCTCAGGTCATGATCCCAGGGTCCTGGGATCGAGCCCCGCATCAGGCTCCCTACTCAGTGGAGAGTCCACTTCTCCCTCTCCTCTGCCGCTCCCGCTGCTTGTGCTCTCTCTCTAATAAATAAATAAAATCTTAAAAAAAAAAGAGTCAAACAAGATTTTAATAACCAAAACACATTTTCAATAAAAGTTTGTATGTATATGTAAAGAAAGAATGAAAAAGCACCAAGGATCTCTGTAAAATTTCATCATACAGTTTCTGTACAGAATGCTTCATCAATAAATGGCACTCAGTTTGTTTTAAAAACATGTAATTACAGAAAACTGTTTTAACTGTTCATCAAAAACTGGCTGGTTGGGATTTTCCAAAGAATACTTCAGATATTCAAATCAATACAATATATCTTCTAAATGTTAACTTCAGATGCACAGGTTAAGATGAAGACCCTTCAAATAATGTTGAAGATGTAATTCAATTCTCACTTAAGTTGCCCCTGTACATCCTCAGACTGCCTTCATCACAAGTATCTTCTACCCCTGAGAAGCCAGCTACATCAAGATGGTTCATCAGCTAAATCACGTTGGTCAAAATACCTAGTAAAAAAAGAATTTCATGTATGTTTAAAAATATTAATAGCAGCACTACTTGTAATAACAAAACACCACAAATAACCCAAACATCCATCAATAAGGGCACTCATTGAATAAACTATGGTACATCTGCACAGAAGACTCGAGGCTTTTTATAAAAGCCTTTTTTATAAAAAGAAATGAAAATACACTGCTATATAGTGTGACTTCTAGGATTTATTAAGTGAAAAAAAACAAGGTACAGAACAGTATGTTTAGTATGCTACCTTTTGTAAGGATGTGTAGGAATGCAGATATATTTATATATACTTGCTTACACTTTTAGAAAGAGTGAACGGAAGGATAAACCAAAAATTAATAATAAATGGAAAACTACAGAAGGGAGAAAGGCTAGAGAGGATAAAGGTGGGTTCTAAAATATTTCAAATGTACTTTGAATTAAAATTTTAACTTTGGAACAATGTAAATATTTTATGTAATTATAAAACAAGATTAAATAAGAAAATCACCAAACCCAAACAAATGGATCTTCTCATTTATCAGATTGCTGGCCTAACCACACAGAAGGGAATAATTTCTAAAATGTGATGTTCTGGTGTTTGTCCCTAGTGAGATATACCAGAGAGAAAAAGAACTGCAAAGAACTCTTAAACTGATTTCAACAGTTGTACTATCAGTAACACTGTTAGTATATTTATTCTGAAACTATTATGTGCATATTGTTGGATAAAGCCAATAACTGTTAATGTTAGAAACCAGAATTTTCAGCAGAGGAGAAAAGAAACATAGGTTAAAGAAAAATCATGTAATCTTAAAACAACTGAAATTTCAATCTGAGGTCACGATTTCATTTTTCTCTTTCTAAAAAATACATACTTCCTACCTGTGGTCATTGAAAAGGCCTAAAGGCAACGACCAACCTGGTAACAGCTAGCTTCCCTAATGTCCAAATTGTGGACTCCAAATACCATTTTCTACTTTAGAAGAGGAACCAGCAGTCCTGGGAAAAAAGACTGATTCCAGATCTGGGGCCAGAAATGTCTTAAGATACATTTGAACCATCTTGATATACCTGAAATAAAGAAAGCTATAAAAGACCGCCAGGGTTATATAGAACAAAAAGCATAGGAACTGACCTAATGGGTTCCTACTGGCCAAAGGCGGAACAATTTGAGCATCAACAAAGATAATGACTGCAATATCCCTTTACCTGAATGCAGTGATCAGCTTCACACTAAAAGTGGAACAACCAGACATTACGTGCCTCCTGATGTGCACAACAGCACTCATGGAGTCTTGCCAAACAAACAAAATAACACTATATAATAATCAAACCTTTAAACCAACCTACCAGCTTATAGAAAATATGGGGGATAAATGAGCACATTAAACACTATCATGAAGATAAGATATAGCTGTCAAAACCAAAACATGGGAAATTTTACAAGTCAAAGGACTTTTTTTTTTCAGTAAATAAATGGCAAAGAGATAAACCCAGGAAATTGATGGGGAGACTCAAGACATATCAAACAAAGCAATGAGTGCATTTTACTTGGATCCCGATTTGGGTTTTTGTTTTGTTTTTCGGGTTTTTTTTTAAAACAACTGTTTTATTTTCCGTCAACCTTATTTCCATTTTGTTTGACTTTGTGGAAGAGTGGCTTAAGACTGCTTGGTGGTTGTTCCTATACATTCAGTGGCCTGAGCAGTGGAAGCTGCAGGCTAGTCTTCAGTGGCAGGCTGAGCACTCCAGTTTTCATTCAGTAGGGAACTGTCTGTGACCAGTCTGTGACTTCAGGTTGAGGCAGTGAACTCAAGAGCTGGAGCAGTCCATTCACCCTGAAAGTCTTCCTTGGTCACAGCCTTTTCAGCAGCAGCCTGTTCTTCCTTTTCAATCTCTTCAGAATCCCTGTAGTAGTAGAGATCAGGCATGACTTCGCATGGGTGTTCATGGGAAATGGTGCCAAGCACGCAAAGAACTTCCCGGGCCAGGATCCGCCACATCAGACCAACTGAGTGAGCTCCCTTGTTGTTATAAGGAATGGCATTGTCCATCTAGCACAGAGCAGAGTCTGCATTACACAGAGCGATGTAGGCAGGTTAACATAAGACACCTCTGTGACAGGCTGTGTCAGTCCTAGGATTAGTAACCACCAGAAGTCTTGGCTCCAGGAAGGCTGCCTGGATCTGGTTAGTGAAGGTTCTAGGGGTGAGGCGGCCAGCAGTAGGGAGTGGCTTCAGTAGCAGCAGCAAAGTTCAGCACAGCTCGCTGGCTAGTATTTTTGGATGACAGGACACTGACATCAGCTGGGTTTTCGATGGCAACAGTGGCACGAGTTGCCAGCAGAAGCATCTCCCAGGTTCTCTCCAGATTGTTTTGGCTCCACGCCCAGCATGGAGCCCAACATGGGGCTTGAACTCACGACCCCGAGATCAAGACCCAAGCTGAGATAAAGAGTTGGATGCTTAACCAACTGAGCCACCCAGGCGCCCCTCTCTTCTGATTTATGATGTAAATATTATCACTTTTCCTTCTGCAGATGTACTATTCCATTTGGAAGTCAAGGTTGGTGCTACCTAAGTGGGTTCCTCCTGTGAGGAATTTGAGGACATCCTCCTCCTTCATTTGCAGGATATCAAGGGCTCTGGACGTATGAAAGTTTCTCTTTAAGTTACCATGGGAATGCAGAACAACAGCATATGGTCGGACCCCTCCCTGGCTACTGTAGAAAGGGAAAGGGTTGAATCCCAATTTGAACAATTCAAATGTAAGAAGACATTCTGGGGACAGTTAAGGAATATGAAACATGAACTGGGCATCAGATAATATTGTGGAGTTATTAAATTTATTAGGTTCGTGATACCAGTATTAGAGTCATGTTTTTAAAAGGTCCTAATCACTCAGATACACTAAAACAGGAGAAATGACATGTCTGAGATTTGTTTAAAATACACTGACAAAAAATATGAGACAGATGAAACATTCTGGTGAAGTTAATAAATGTTGAACTTGGGTGGACTGCTTGGGTTGGGGGGTGCATTTTATTCTACTGCATTCGTATGTGCTTGAGAATCTCCAGAAGCAGCAGCTTAAGACATTTTTCACTGATAAAATAATTAAGGTGGCTAACATATGGCTATTAGATCCCATTTGAATAGGTATTTCTATCAATTAGCAGTTTTTGCCTTAAAGCTATAAAACAAAAAAGACCAAAAAAAAAAAAAAAAACCACAACAGACTTATAACAATATTTGCTACTTATATTGAAATGGCTACTGCAAAAAGTCAAGGTCTATGTTATCTTTTTTCAAACTTTCTAGAATCCTCTTTAAGTCTGCTTTTCTTTTTTTTAGAGAGGGCCCGCTGTGTGGGGCAGAGGGAAATGGAACCTTAAGCAGGCTCCATGCCAACGTGGGCTCCATCTCATAACCCTGAGATCATTACCTGAGCCCAAATCAAGAGTCGACGCCAAATGAGCCACCCAGGCACCCCTCTTCTGCAAGTTTTCGTAAGCGAAGCCTATAGTCTAAGAAAATTTTCTAGCCTAGAACTTATCTTCCATTTTTACGTAATGTTCTGAGGAAAAAAAAATAACCATGACCAATTACTTGGATATTTCTTTTCTCATAATTGCACATTATAAACTATCAGTGGATTAGTGGTCAGATGATATGTTTAAGTCTCTGGTTCCATTCAGTACTAGTTTACTGAACCTTAATTACTTAATGTTTCTGAACCTGTGTCTTCATCTGTAAAGTAAAAGAAAAAACTGAGTTGCGAGGATTAAAGACCCAGTATACGTAGCACCTAGGGCTCTCATTTAATCCTTATTACCAAGAGATGAGGTTGTTTGATACGGGCATAGTCCAGAACTTAGCTCTGGAGCAAAGCTGCCTGGTTTTGGATCCTAGCCCTACAATTTACTAGCTTTGTGATGGCAGGAAAGTTATCTCTGTGCCATGATTTCCTCAAATGTAACTGATCACAGCACCTACCTTCTAAGGATTAAATGAGTTTCTATTATGAAGCACTAAGAAAAATGCTTGGCACTAAGTGCCTAGTTAAGTATTAGGTTTCACCAGCAGCGTAATTATAAATTTAGAAAGTATATGTTGACCACATGTGTACTCTGAAAAACTGTCTTGTTTGAGGAAGGATACTGGACACAGATCATTTACCTTCTCACTATTTAAATATAAAGCTTTAAAAAGTTATCGGCATTAGATTAAAAACACTGACCAATGTACAAAAATATCAAGCCCAGAAAGAGACCTAAAATAAACATGTGTGCATGCATATGTGTAAGTATAATACACACATACTCATACACATGAATTCAGAATATGAGAACATTTTCAATGTGGAATTTCAATGTAAGAAATGAAATCAAACACATACTAAATATGTCCTAACTGAAAATGAATAAAGAAACAGGCAATTAAAAAAAACTGCAACAAAATATTTTTTACCCTTACTGGTAATTAAACAAATGCAAATAAAAATAATTTGTATCTTTTTCTTATTAGAATGGAAATATTTATATCAACCGAAAATGCCCAAAAAGGGCATTTTTCTGGGCTTCTTTTGAATAGAAGATGGGCAGTCTGACACTTTCCTGGGAAAAGAGAAAGGTAGGAGTTTCTGGAAGGCAAACTATTAATAAATATCTCAGTTTTAAAAGTACATGCATGCCCTTCAACTTATTTCTAGGAGTTTGCCCGTAGGAAATAATAGAGCTATAATGTATACAGATCTACACGGCAGCAGTACTTTTAGAGAAAACTCGAAATACAGGGAATTGTGATACATAAAATATTGTTTCCTCACACCTCAATTTCCTCTGCTTGAAAATGAAAACAGTATTTTCCATTAATAACATATTACAAAGCAAAGAGTCAAGGATTACTTACCTGCTAACCAGGCAGATTAATAAATTCAAAGCAGGAACTCGCTCATCATCTTTGCTGTCCTAAAGAAAAAAAAAAATCAGAAAAATGTAGAGTGTTCTCCTTAATATTTTTGAAACAAATTTCCTTTTAAGATGCAAAATATGAAAATTTTATTAGATAATAGTAATAATCACATGGAAGTAGAAAACCTCAAAGAAAAAGGAGAAAACTAAACCCTTGGGAATCATCTGACATGATCTTTTTTAAAGATTTATCTATTTGTCAGAGAGAATGAGAGAGAGAGAGCAAAGCAGGGGGAGCAGCAGACAAGGGAGAAGCAGACTCCCTGCTGAGCAAGGAGCTCGATGCAGGACTCGATCCCAGGACCCCAGGGTCATGACCTGAGCCGAAGGTAGACGCTTAACAGACTGAGCCACCGAGGTGGTCCCTGCATGATCTTTTAAAGAAAGGTCCTTAACAGGGAAAAGAAATAAAGCGTTGAAGGTTTAAAGGAGAATAACTTGGGAGAGAGATTTTTCCCGGTTCCAAGAGAGGAGCAAAAAAAAACCCCCAATGTCCTAACTAGACAGTAGTGAAAACAAACTATATAAAAATATTTTAAAGAACTTAGAATTGAGGAATGAAATCCTGGCTTCTAGCATAAGACATACCAGAAAATACTCCCAGCAGATCAGGGTTCTCAATTACGATGGAGGTAGTTGCTGAACTATATATATATATATATATATATATATATATATATTTTTTTTATTTATTTATTTGACAGAGAGACACAGCGAGAGAGGGAACACAAGCAGGGGGAGTGGGAGAGAGAGAAGCAGGTTTCCCACGGAGCAGGGAGCCCAATGCGGGGCTCGATGAGGGGCTCGATCCCAGGACCCTGGAATCATGACCCAAACCGAAGGCAGACGCCTACCAACTGAGCTACCCAGGAACTGTGTATTTTATAAAGTGGTGTTACAGAGCGTGAAGTTTATTTTTATACATTTCAAGATATAGTTACAATAACCTATCGAGTAATGTTATAACAGACATGTCACATGTTAATTCAAACTTGGGACACACTTTCATAATGTTAGTGTACTCAACTCTGTGTCAAGCACTATATGGAACAAAGCTGAATAAAACATATTACGTGCTAATAGCAGAGAAGATGAAATATCCACATTAACTTTAATGAAAGGAAAAAATATGAAGTATACTGAAAAAACAGAATGCAGAAATTCTTTTTAATTGTTAGGGTCAGGGAGAGTATCACAGAAAGTGGTTGAATATGAGCCAGATTGTGAAAAGTAAATGGTATTTAGATGCAGGTTGGAAGAGTGAAAAGGCACTTCTGTAGAGGAAATAAAGTCTAGGAACAAAACATGGGAAATATTTACCAAGTAGCAAGTACATTTTGCTTGGAGTACAAGCCATAGAAGCTAATTTGGGCCATATCATGGATGTTTAACAAAAATATTTTTGAGTAGTCAATAGAGAATGAGTATACATTTTGTGTAAGAGAAAGGGATGAAAGAAAAAAAAATAACAAGTGAACTTAATCTGGCATAAGATTTATATTGTAATGCTGCAGGCATGAGTTAGTGAAGCGCCTGATTGGAGAAATTCGAAACAATCATCTTGCCAGACTGTTAGTTGACCACTCTAACTTCTTGTTTTCCCTTACTCTTTAGCAAAGGAAGCTCATTTTAACCTAAGCACACTGTCCCCCAGCTAAAAGCAAACATTTCCCATAGTTCCTTATGGCCATGTGACTAAATTCTGGCTAAATGAGTTACATATATATAACCAGATATGCTTGTGGAACCTCTGGGAAGCTTTGTTAGAGGACAACCTTCTCTTTCTAGTTCCTATAACCGAATATAATGGCTGACTCCAGCAGCCACCTCGGACCATGAGGTGAACTTGATAACGGAAGCTACATGAGGCAGAACTCAAAAGCAGGGTTACTGCCATATTAGATTTGCTCTGTCCACCTGCAGACTTCCTTTATCTAAGAAAAACATGTCCATTTCATTTAAGCTACTGTTATTTTGGGCTTTTTAAAATTATGTGGCCAAATTTAATCTTGACTAATAAAATATTCCACGTTTTCCTATTTCAATGGCATCCTTTTTTATCACCATATAAATCAATGAGCGCTCTCAATTTGAAACAGCAAGTTGTAACTTACCACTAAGAGCCTTACTTCAGAGCACCTTCTTGCAAGCTGCCGAATCAGTGAATGAGCCTCAGGTAATAAAGGTTTTTCAAGACAAGCCAATAAAGCATAAAGCCACCTTCCCTAAGTAAGATTTTAAAAAGTAGTAAGTAGCAAATACTGTACCATAAGTTTAACTTATTTTTTAAAATGTCCAAGGTTGTATCTGGTTATTTGCTATGAATAAATTAATGTAACATTAACTGTATTATATTTGGATGTAGACAACAAGGGATCATCTAGACAGCCAGCTGATATTTTCTGTTATCTTCTTACTACAGACACAGAACATTGAACACTTCAAAATACCCTTAGTTCCAAAGAGTTCATTTCAGAGATTCTTACTATAATTGAAGTCCCAATTTATAGGTAGAAAACTACATTAAGATGTGCATAAATCCTTGCAAAAATTAAGACACATATTTTTCCTCTGCCCTTTATAGACAGATATACAAATAATTTTATAACTTTATAACTTTGCCCCGTGTCTATACAAAGGAACTATACTCTAGATGAAATCATGTTTTGAGGGACACCTGGCTGGCTCAGTAAGTGGAGCATGCGACTCTTGATCTCGGGATGGTGAGTTCAAGCCCCACGCTAGATATAGAGATTACTTAAAAAAATAAATCTTAAAAAAATTATAAAAAATGTTTTGATACTTCTGTAAGTATCATGGCAAACTAAATCTATCCCCCAATTTTTTTTTTTTTTTTAAAGATGGAGCCCAATGCATGGCTTGAACTCATGACCCTGAGATCAAGACCTGAGCTGAGATCAAGAGTCAGATGCTTAACCAACTGAGCCACCCAGGCACCCCATCCCCATCCTCTTTATTTTATTTTTTCTAAAGATTTTATTCATTTATTTGACAGAGAGAGACACAGCAAGAGAGGGAACACAAGCAGGGGGAGTGGGAGAGGGAGAAGCAGGCTTCCCACAGTGCAAGGAGCCCGATGCGGGGCTCAATCAACCTGAGCCATAGGCAGACGCTTAAATACTGAGCCACCCAGGCGCCCCCCAATCCTCTTTTAAAATGAAATTTTTTTCAATTACAAAAGGAAGAAATACTAAATGCTGAAAAACTGAATACAAAAAGCACAAAGTAAAAAACACCTGCAACCCCACCATCCAGACAGTTTCTAATTTTAAAAATGCTAATTTTTATCTTTTTCGTATTTATATGTACAACTTTAAAAAAAATAAAGTTCCATTATCATAGTAACATTAATAATGTGGTAATAACATTTTGTAGCCATCTTTTTTACTTGCAATACATAATGAATATCCCCCATGTTGTTAAATGGGATTTGGGAGGGAATGTTATTAATCTCAACACAGCACTTATATAATACTCTTTCACCAAACACTTATACTTTCCTGTCATTGCTGGTTTAGTCTTTTCTTCCCCAAACTCTGTGAGAGTATAAAATTAGATATTATACTCCTAGGACCCAGACTTGAGTTGGAACACAATAGGCGCTTAAATTTTCTGTGGAATGAATGTTCCATTTTGGATGACCATAATTTACTTAACCAATTTCCTATTGTTGAGCACTTAGGTTTAATTTGTTGCTGTCATATAAAAAATAGTGTGATAAATATCCTTGAACATAAATTTTAGACCATCTCTGATTGATTTTTTGGGCTAAATTCCTAGAAATAAAATGGTCGTATCCAAGGGTATGTATGTTCATAAATGTTTCTGAGATATCATCAGTGAATTGTGCCCCAGAAAAATTATATGAAATTATATTTCCACCAGCAGTGTATATGACTGAGTTTATTCTGAGCAACACATCACTTTGGAGAAACCTAAAGAATATTAAACAATGTTTACATAGCAATTCATGCAATAAAAAAAATTAGCTCCTCAAGCTACCCCAAATCAATAAGACTTTTTCTTAAACAAAAGATTCATATCCAGGTTTCTTTTATAAATAGTAAGTGGAATTCTCTTCTATATCAAAAAAGCTATTACACATTTAAATTTGGCTCAAATTCTGAGGGCTACATTTACCATATATAACTGGTATTCAGGTATTCAAATGGTGCTTAAACCTCTACTGATTGTCTAAGATGTATTTATACTGAGAGGTGCCTTTTCTCAAAGTCAGTGGGCTCACTGTGGTAATACTAAACGTAAAAATAAAACCCAAAACAAGATAGCTGAAGATATTCCTTCATACCTCACATTTGGATGAAAAATAAGGCTGTATTTATTTCTCAAGAGAAAATTAAAGTAATCCCAAGTAAAGACATTTAAAAAAGATCCATTTTCCTTTTGCTAGTTTATGATAAGCAAACTTTGTGATACCGGTTTTTATACACTGATATTCTCAATAGTAGAGTTCTGATAGTACGGTTAATTGGATAGTGGAATTGAACACCGTTGATTTAAGAGACAGATTAACTCCAGGTTAGAAGCAAAGGATTAATTAAGTTAAAATTTAGTAAATCAGTTGTCAGTTCCTCTGGCAAATATAGCTACTTTTTGGTAATATGCTCTCACTAATTAACAGGAACAGCCAAACTTATCACCCTCTTCAGTGGGTAATCTTTAGAAGTTAAAAAAAAATAAAAATCTTACAACAAAGAGTTGAAAAAATAAAGATTAAAGGACGAGAAGGAAAACAGGTCAGGAAATAGTGCTAAAACGTCACTATCAGAGAGAAAGAATGGATATAGAATTTAAAGTTCAATATCCAGATTCCAATGAATAAATAATATGAATATGAACAAAGTTATCTATTAAAGGTATACCTAATATACCTATGATGGAAAAATATTCAGTTTCACTGACATTCAAGGAAATACAAATTACATTTACTTTGAAGTGCTACTATAAATTCACTAAATTTGAAAATAAACAGAAATCATAAAATGTTAGATGGAACCATATGGAATTACTGATAATCAAATTTTTTAACCTACAAAAATGGCAAATGCACATGGTTCAACTTAAATTGGAATTGCAGGGAAAAATAAGAATCCTTTGCCAATGGCATTATTAACTGGTTCATTCCTTTTGGAAAGCAGAATGTAACAAAACAAAAGCTTATGAAATCTTGATCCAATAATTCTACCCTAGCAATATCCTGAGAAAATGATAATTAAAATGAAATTAGTATAAATGTTTATAATTTAGTCATGATTATAAAATATAAGAACCCAGATGGTCAATAATGAGAGAATCAAAGTAAACTGAGACATTAAGACAATGGAAATTATATGAATTACAGTATCACATAGAAATATATATATGTAATCTAAAGCTAAAAAACCCAGAATAATGTATGAATTACACTATGTAAAAGACATGTTTGACCACTGAATCAGAAACCGTGATTTTGTCTTTCTTTCTTTCTTTTTATTTAGTTAGTTAGTTCCATGCTGGGCACGAAGCCCAATTCAGAGCTTGAACTCACAACCCTGAGAACAAGGCCTGAACTGAGCTCAAGAGTTGGATGCTTAACCATGGTCTTGAAATCCAATTTACAAAAGTATATCAAATACCAATAATAATAGCAAGCACTGTGTGCCAGGCATTACTCTAAGGACTTTGTATACAGTTAATTCCTTGAATCCTCCAATAACCTATGAGCTGTTACTTGCATTTTACAGACAAGGAAACTAGAGTACATAAAGATTCAGTACTTGCTTAAGATGATACATACCCTTACTGGTGGAACTGAGAGTCACACCCCAGCAATACAGCTATACTCTTAAGAACTATGCTGCACTGCCCCTCTGCTTTATAGTTTTATATTCACAGCTCATTTTCACCTTCAAAAATGGGTCAGTTTGGTGGACATGATATAAATAATATGCTTAATCCCCTAGGAAGAAATTTTATTATTCTTTCAAGTTAGATTTAATTTTTAGAAACATATATTTTTTATAGTTAAGGATATTTGCAAAAGAGTGTACCTGAAGCTCCAAAGCTCCCTGTCAAAGAGTAAGATATAATCTTTGCCCACCAGAAACTTATAGTCTGCTGGGAGAAACAGATAAACCAACACTGCAATACAATGTACAAGTTTTGAAGCCTGCCATTCATCCAAGTAGCTAAGTCTCTTATGTAAGTATAATGATCATATTCTTTACCACGAGATTTTCATTTTTTGTTTTTGTATTTTATTCTTTTAAATCTCTACTATATAACATGTACATTTAAGGGAAAAAATTAATGTTTAAAGTCACTGTTTCTGGGGCACCTGGGTGGCTCAGTAGGTTGAGCATCTGACTCTTGATTTCATCTTAGGCCTTGACTGATCTCAGGGTCATGAGTTCAAGCCCCATGTTGGGCTCCACGTTGGGCATGGAGCCTACTTAAAAAACAAACAAACAAAACAACACACACACACACAAACAAACAAAAAAGAAAATGCATTTCAAATTTCTTTAAGCCAGTGCTACTCAAAATGGGATGTCCAAACTGGATGTCAGTTGGTGATCTATTTGTTACTGGACTGCAGTAAGATAAGTTGCTTCTCCCAGGATATAAACAAGCTCTTTTTTTTTTTTTTAAGATTTATTTGTTTATTTGAGAGAGCAAGAATGAGAGGGAGAGAGTACATGAGAGGAGGGAGGGCCAGAGGGAGAAGCAGGCTCCCCGCCGAGCAGGGAGCCCGACGCGGGACTTGATCCCGGGACTCTGGGATCATGACCTGAGCTGAAGGCAGTTGCTTAACCAACTGAGCCACCCAGCCGCCCTAAATAAGCTCTTTAATTGACTTTTTCCAAGGCAAATCTTTCTCAATGAAGGAAGTTTAATGTTGATTTGCATTCTACTGTAAGTTCCTTATTTCACTGCAAGCAAGCATAGTTTGCATTGTACATGTAGTTATATGTACAAGTATAATACACACATATACATAAATATCTTAGAGTCATATCTCATATATAAAATAAGTCTATACAATTTTGTCTGCATTATGAAAATAAAAAGATGCGATACTACCAATTCTGGAGTAAAGTCTCTTTCTCCAAACCAATTACTCAGATATTCCAAGACACTAGTTACTGTTGCCTAAAAAAAGGGGAAAGGGAAGGTGAAAGAAATGTATTAGTAATAAAACAAAGACAAGTTCAACATGGGTTTCATTAAGTTTGGTTAGAAAGCAACTCTGATATCTAAAATAGCCTCGTTCTTTAGACTTCCAGAGAAAACTGACTGTATTTAGTAATTTGGTTAGGTGGCTCACTCAGAGAGAAGAGGCTTTTTAGACATATTTTTATATACTTTCAAGTATCAATACCTTGGCTTAAATCCCAGGATTTAGTTTGTAACTACTAATTTAGTTTATAAATACTTGAAAAATTCCACACGCTCTTAAAAAAACCTTTGCATAAATACCTTCAAGTTATTTTCATTAAGTCAAAATCAAAATATAAGGAGAAAGTTAGCTGGAGAAAGCTCTGTTTTCAAAGTTATATAGATAGAATTTACTAAACTGTTGAAAGTATTCTCTTGCTTCTTCAAGCATAGTTGGACACTTAACAAAAATCACTCATTGAATTTAGTATAACTACTACAGTATTTTAATGCAAATGATCAAGTAACTGAGACCAGTATATGATTTACAATAGACCACGACACTTAAAAAAACTTATTTTCCAAGGGAACCAATGCTATGTGAAGGCAAAACAATCAAATTTTTCATTTGCTCTTTAAATGGATAACAGAGTTCTTCATCCTAAAAGAGTGAAGAAGCTTCTGATCCAAGAAATTATGTATTTCATTCTTAATGGGATGTGCAGGACATCTGGAACTAGAAATAACAATCTAACCTTAGTTTTACTTCAAACCCCAGAATCTAAGACTTAAAACTGAAATGTATACAATTGAAGAGTTTAGCAACATGGTTTAGCATGAGCTCTGGAATTAGATCAAACAGGGGGTAAATCCCAGTGTTGCCATTGTAACTTGCTGAAAAACCACCTGCAGGTCACTTAACTTTGAATTTTGTCTCCAAATCTATAAAAATTGGATATTAACAATAATTCTCCATATAGGGTTGTATTGGGGATTAAATAACAACTGTTACAGAGGTTAGGACAGGGCCTTATATACTGTAAGTATTCAATAAATGTGTTCATATTCTCATACACATAGAAAACAACAAAATACATACATTCTTATTATTAGATGGATTTTACCTGATTCATTCTGCTAACAATACTAAGCAAGGGAGGAAAACCAATCTGAAAGAAAAATAAGACTGAAATTTACTAAATGGCATTATAAAGGGTGATTCATTGTTTTCAAACTGGTCAATTTCTTACCACATTTTTTAAAAACAAAGAATGAATAACAGGAAATTCCTTCATTACCCATTATAATAAGACATTCCATCAACTATTATGTTGGTAATGCCTCAAAAAATGTTTTGCAATTTGAATATATAAATTTAAAAATAATGACTTTAGTAATTAAAATATGAAATTTCTTAAACTGATACTATGATTAACATGCTGCACACTTTCAAAATCTTCAGCTAAAGCTAACATTTTCAGGAATTAAGGGTACTCAGAGTAATTTTTTTTTCAAACCTAATATAATTCAATTAAAAAAGTATTTTGAAGGTTAATGCTGGGAGCCTTCGTTACGAAAATAGCACTGACTTTAGAGAAAGTTAAGAGGAGGATGTGCGTTAACTCTGCTTCCTTATGTTATGGTTCTTCCACATGGTGTATTTTCCTTGTATATATTTTGTAGTAACAAGCTAAATAAGTTTTAATTTTTTGTCAAATTAAAACACATTTTGAAATGTAACATCCATTAGGGCTATTATCCAAAAGAAAAACAGATTGTGTAACAAACAGGGCCAAGTTAGTTCACTTCCAGATCTGAATCTATTTATACCCCACCACCATGTGTAAAAGTGCCTATTTTCCCAGCCCTTGTTAATACAGCGTATCAAATTTCCTTTGCCAATGTTATCAAAAATAGCAGCTCAGTGGAGTTATGAGTTATATTTCTATTATGAGTGAATATGGCATCTTCTAACAGCAATTCATATTTTTCTTTCTGTGAGCTATTTATTTCTTTTGCCTTTTCTGTTTTAATTGGGTTCTTGGTCTTTTAGTGATTTTTGGTGTTTGTTTTTTTTTTTTAAAGTAGTCTCCAGTGTGGAGCCCAATGTGGGGCTTGAACTCATGACCCTGAGATCAAGACCTGAGCCGAAATCAAGAGTTGGATGCTCAACCTACTGAGCCACCCAGGTGCCCTAATTTTTAGAGCTTTTACATTTTTTGGATCAATTACTTTTAAATGGGAAAAACACACACCTTGGGGGGCCAAGAACCAGTTGGCCACATAATTTATGATTAGAATAAAGCCACAGGAAATTTAAATATAACTTTAAAACTTCATCTCCAGAATACGAAATCCACTAAGCATTTTTAAGCACCTAATTGTGTCATGTTTTCCTTTGTTTCCCTGACTACTCACAAGTCATAACCCATGCTTAATCATTAAAAAAACAAACGAACCCTGATACTATCTAACTCACGAAGTTAACACATAGCTAAAACCTAAGAGATATGAAGCCCACCTAAGAAAAGTCACAGTACATTGTTTCAGAAACTGGGCTGCACATTTTTAAGTTAAAGAGCCAATTAACTAGGTCATAGGTTGGGAAACATTTTCTGTAAAGAGCCAGACAGTAAGCATTTTAGGCTTTGCAGGCCACACACTGTCTCAGTAACTTAGTATTATAAAAAAGACACTCTTAGCTCATGGGCTGTACAAAAACAGGCTGCAGACTAGATTTGGCCTAGGTTGTAGTTTGCAGAATCTTTGCATTAAATCATGCACCAAAAGTAGAACCCTTTTTGTTTATCCACAGATCACCTACTTGCACATAATCGATTCCAGGACCTTCACTTGTAGCTGGTCCAACAGCTCCTTCAGCACATAATCTTTCACCCAGACAAAATTTTTTCCAGCCTTCTTCATCTTCAGATTTTGGCTAAAAGAAAAAAAAATTTACTTATTTCTATGTTTTGTTTTTTTTAATGGAATAGTAAAAAAGATATAAAGTCCTCTATATTCCTACCACTTCAACAGAAAGATATGGTGCCTGTTATGGGCTGAATTTGTCCCCCCCAAATTTCTATGTTGAAGCCCTACCCTCTAGTATCTTAGAATGTGACTGTATTTGGACAAGGCCTTTATAATGGATTATGTTAAAACCAGGCTTTTCGGGTGGCCTTTCATCATCTAACCAATGTCCTTATAAGAAGAGGAAATTTAGGGGCAGCTGGGTGGTGCAGTCAGTTAAGCGTCCAACTCTTGGTTTATGTTCTAGTGGTGATCTCAGGCCCCTTGTCGGGCTCCACGCTCAGTGCAGAGTCTGCTTGAGACTCTTTCCCCGTCTCCCTCTGCCCCTCCCCAATGCCCCCCCATATGTGCACACACTCTAAAATAAATTAGGGGTGCCTCGGTGGCTCAGTCATTGGGCATCTGCCTTCGGCTCGGGTCATGGTCCTGGGGTCCTGGGATCAAGCCCTGCGTCAGGCTCCCTGCTCGGGCAGGACCCTGCTTCCCCCTCTCCCACTCCCCCTGCTTGTGTTCTCTCTCTAGGATGCTCTCTCTCTCTCTCTGTTAAATAAATAAATCTAAAATAAATAAATAAATAAATAAAAAGAGAGAGGATATGTAGACATAACAAGAGGCACTAGAGATGCTTGTGCACATAGGAAAAACCATGTGAGGACATAGCCAGATGGCCACGTGCAAGCCAAAGAGGACTCAAGAGGAACCAAACCTGCTAATACCTTGATCTTAGACTTTTAGCCTAGAGAACTGTGAGAAAATAAATTACTGTTTGCTAAAACACCCAGTCTGTGGTGTTTTGTTATGGCAGCCCTAGCAAATTAATACAGTGCTCAAGTGTTACATATTATGTGAGATGTGTTTAGTTTGGATACTGACAAATAAGGGTTTGTTCAAGAGGGTGATAAAGATGGAAACTGGTATGGGAAAAATGCACTAAAAACACAAGAATGAAAGATGTTTATGCCAGGGAAAGAGACAGAATTAAATGCTTCACATACTTGGAAGGGCAGTCCAATCAAAGAAAGAACAGATTTATTCTACACTACCAAATGCAGACCAGTGGAGAGAAACATTGACAAAACAATTTTTGATTGTACACAACACCTTACACATTACTTTGCATAGGTGTAGTTTCTCCTCCTGAGGATAAATAGCTTTCATTAGATTCTCAGGACAAACATGAGACCCCTGAAAGGTTAAAACCTATTGTATTAGAACAATGTATCTGCCCGTTCCCTTTACTCCATTAGGTCAGAGACTATTTCTATTTCAGGTAACACTGAATACCCTGATTATTAAAGATAGGTGCTTAATAAATGACTGAGTAAGTCAATAAATAAATGTTTATATTTATCTAGTTACTTTAAATAAAATGTCAGAGTACTTTACTTTAAAAATTTTTCATTATTTACATAACATTTACTTTTGCCATGATAAACATGCTATTAATATTTCACTGTTTTGATGGATCATAATTTATTCAATCAATTATGTTTGGTCATTTACATTTCTGACAAAATTATATTGTCATAATATTACTGATGCAGCTTCTTTTTGAATTAGTAAGCATGTACCCAAAAGTCCTTCTACTGAGCAAGAAAAAAATACGTCTACTTACCTACTTACCACCTGTCCCCCTACCCCCTTTTCCCAGGAGGCCTCACAGAACAGCAAAAAGCTTTATGGCCAAACTTTGGTTTGAATCTCAGCTATACCTTTTATGAGTTAAATGATCTTGGGCAAGAGATGTTAGTTCGTTTCACACATTTCCTAGAGCAGAGCTTTTAATTGGTATGGAGAAGCAAGTAGAGTCCATATACTGAATTTCTCAGCTTTCAGCTCATAGTCTAGGGCTATGCAAGCAGCCTCCTCCATTTATCCCAAGGTATTACAATGTAAAAGATATTACGAAACACTGCCCAGAGAAAGCTTCTAAAATCTGAAATCTATGAACTACCTGAAACTGGGAGCAAAACTGTGTGCCCTGGTGCACACAATTTTTTCCTCTGAAGATAAGGATTGCATGAAGATAAGATGTATGATTCTCAGGAAGAATATGAGACTCCCTAAAAAGCTAAAAGTCTTGTCCTGGAGAAATATATCCATCTCTTCTCCAACTCCCTTTTTTATTCAGTAGTCCAGATACGACCTATCTCCTGAAGTTGAAAATTATATCTAAGCTGATAAAGCACAGAAAATACCACTTTCTAATATGCACAATAGGCTTTATTAAAATGTCACGGTATTAGCGCCATTACCTCACCAGGAAAATCCAATAAGCCTTTATTCAATCTTTTTGTAAACACTGAAAATGTATTTATTTTCTAAAAAGGCAATGTCTAGAAGAACCCTTAAAAATTTGTAGAGGCTGGGGTGCCTGAGTGGCTCACTCATTAAGCACCTGCCTTCGGCTCAGGTCATGATCCCAGGGTCTTGGGATCGAGTCCCACATCGGGCTCCCTGCTTGGTGGGAAGCCTGCTTCTCCCTCTCCCATTCCCTCTGCTTGTGTTCCTGCTCTCACTAGCTCTCTCTCCGTCAAAAAAATAAAAAAAATCTTAAAAAAAAAAACTTAAAAAAAATTGTAGAGGCTGAACAATTACCTATTCAAAGTCTCTCAAGATGCTGTGGATTAAAACTGCCATAAAAATAACAACTTGCATTACTGATTCTATACTTTTAAGGCTACTAATACAACAGAATTGCTTCTATTAATGGTGAATAAAAAAGAACAAAAATAATATAAACTAAGTAAGTGAATCTTTAAAGACTGGCAGGAAATATGGACTATTTCAAATAGGCACACACTGTACAACTTAACCAAAGAAACTTACATACCATGGTCACGTTACTGTCTAACTGTTGTGATTTCCAGTGACTTCTATGTCTGATCACACTCTAAAGGAAGAAAAGTTAGGCAAGTGACCTTCAGAGAATGGATAACTGAAAAGAAATCAATTATGAAACATCCTAACAATCCTGAAACTTGGAAGACATGTTTTAAACTGTATTATGTCTAATGATTATAATCTGGTAATTGATTTATAAATATTTTAACTTTATCCTTCAGAATAATGAATCTTGGGGCGCATGGGTGGCTCAGTCGGTTAAGTGACTGACTCAGTTTTGGCTATGGTCATGCATGATCTCCTGGGTCATGGGATCAAGCCCCTCTTCGGGCTCCACACTCATTGCTCATGAGAATATGGCTGAAGATTCTCTCCCTCTGCTCCTCCCCCAACTCACATGCCTGCCTGCATGTGTGTGTGCTCTCTTTCTCAAGTAAATAAATCTAAAAAAAAAAAAAAAAAAAATGAATCTTATTTTTCTAGCTACAGTCTAAGAACAGAAATAAATCTTGAGGGAGGAAGGCAAGAAGTGGTCTAATTTAAAATTCAATTAGCCAACATATATTACATCATTAGTTTCCGATGTAGAGTTCAATAATTTATCAGTTGCATATAACACCCAGTGCTCATCACATCACGTGCCCTCTTTAAAGCCCATCACCCAATTACCCCATCCCCCACCCACCTCTCCTCCAGCAACCCTCAGTTTGTTTCCTATAGTAAGAGTATCTCATGGTTTGTCTGATGACTTCCCATTTAGTTTTCCCTCCTTCCCCTATGATCCTCTGCGCTGTTTATTATATTCCACATATGAGTGAAACCATATGTCTTTCTCTGGTAGAAGGGGTTTAATCTGATTAAATAATTAAAGTACACTTACCTGTCGAACAGATGAAAACTGTGCCACTTGTTGTTGTTGCCACTGAAGTGTGGGAGAATATCCTTCAGGAGCAGGTTGGCATCCTGAAAGCTGGAGATCAGTTCATAAATATTAGAATCAATGTTAGTGTTATAACTAGAATCTCATGCCTCTGCAAAGTAAAAGCAGAATCAAGATGAAAAGTAATAAAGTAAATGATTAAGGTTATATAAGAAAGAAACTACACTTCTTGCAGATGCAAAAAAGTAGGCCTTTCACTTCATTATTTCTGTCCAAGTTTAAACATTAGGAAAAGATCCTTGTGGAGTCACTTCAATAAGAGCAATCTGGAATGGTTTATAGTTGGGAGTTTTTAAACTAAGAAATCTAAATTATATGAGCCCTGAAGATAGAACTTAGTCCTACCTTTCTATAATAAAAAAACTGTTTGAAACAAAGAGATATATCCCAAATAAAGAATTCTGTTATGGGCAGAATGTACTCAAATAATCTAAGACACTTGACTTTACAAAGGCTACTTTAGCTTCCTAAGACAGCAAAACAGTTCATAATTGACGACAGACTGCCCTGAGATAAAAGTGTACTTTTCAAAAGCTAGGTGCATGACATTCTTGTCCATCAACTAAAAATTTCTGAAAAAAAATTATATGAAACATTATAGTATCTGAATTAAAATATCCTGATAATAAATATCAGATAAAGAAATTACTTGGAACATAAAAGGAAAAGGACCTAACACAATTTAAAAACTGCTGCTCTCCTTTGACCTTAGGTTAAATAGCACGACCTTAGAGAGACCTTCTGCGACAACTCTACCTTGTACTTATTGATCATTATACATGCTAATTTTCTTATCAGTAGTCACAATATATAATTACTTAGTTTGCTTGTTCACTCTCTGTCTTCCGCAGGAGAATGTAAACTCTACTAGGGTGGGGATTTTTGTGTCTCATTCTCTCTTGTATTCCCAGTGCCTGGCACAACCTAGTCACTTAATAAAAAATATGCTGGATTAATAAATGAACAAAAATGTTCAAGGTGTGCAAGTAGCTAGAAAAACATTAAGATACTTGAGTTTCTCTTCTTAAAAAACAAAACACAGTCAAATTCAGAACATGCCAACTACACTAAATAACATTAAACACCAGCCCTAGAATAATTATGAAGACAAATGGAAAAAGGTTCCCTAAAAATAAATGATAACATAAGTAACCCATTTAAAGAGTCTTTTAGGACTGCCCTAAAGTATGATGAGTCTCCACGAATGCCAAGGTTACTGAAAACCTCTCTGGAGGCAGTAAATGCCAACTGTCCTTTTGGGGGGAAAGTACAAGCTAATGTTTAATATCACAGGGAGTAGTCAAATCTTACATATAGCATGAAGATACTGTGGGATACCATAGGAAAAGTCTTGATCTTTCCACTTGGGCGGGGGAGGGGGAAAGGGGAGAATCCCCTGCTGGGTAATAAAACTCACAGAAACATTCACACTTTGCTTCCTTTTCAACTTCTTTGGGTCAATCTGAGCTACCACAACATCTGGACATTGAGCTGCTTCGATCCTACAAATAAGTAATAAATGCAAGAAATGTGATTACGGCTGTGCTTTGTTCATGTGTAGTAAAACGAGCGATCCATTTCTACGGTTCTTTACGAAATAAGAAAAAAAGTTCAGAATTGCCATTCACGTACTAAACAACGTATTTCCGAAATTAACTGGATTGAAAGCAAGGAAATCAAAAAGTACACATCTTGACACAGGTAAACATAATTAGGCTCATAAAAACTCGCCCAGGTAAATATGTAATCAAGTGATCTTGATTCGACCCTACCTCGCGAGAGATTGGGAAGGGCAACAGAGGCGGGGCTTTATCACACTTAGGGGGTCGAGCTGTGCCCAGGGGCAGAGCGGACGACCAGCCCACCCGCACAGGGCCAAATCACTCACTGGACCCGCCTCAGGTATTCCTGAGGCGTCCTCGGGGGTACGGAGGGATCAAAACTTTCTGTCAAGTCGCAGGGCTCCACTGGCAACAGCCTGGGCATCAACTCTTCTACTGCAGACTCCACTGGTATCCACGCCATGGTTTTTAATCCGGCCAATCCCACCCAGCGCATGCGCCAAATCTAGGTCACAGCGCAGGCGCAGAGGTAGGCACCTTAAGCGCGGAGTTGAGGGAGGCAGGGCTTAGGGGGCGTAATTGCACTTGAGGAAGCCTGCTGATTGTCCCAAGGTTAAGGGTCCGGTGGTGTAAGAAGACAGTGAATTTAGTTCCTTGCAGAAGTGGTTCTGAGGTGTTTCTGTGTGTTTCCCTTCGTTCTCTCTTAAAAGGCGAGGGTAAAGACAGAGGATTATTAACCTTTATGCATCTGCAGTAGTGAGGGATCCTTGAATATTTTTCGAATTAACGAGCGGTGTTACTGTAATTACCATTTATTGAGCTCTAGATTCTTTTTTTTAAAATTGTCTACAAGAAATCAATTTATTTATTTATTTATTTATTTATTTATTTAAGTTCTGGATTCTTAAACCCTGGTAGACACGTCACGTATATTTCCTCGTTTAATTTTTTAAACCAACCTTTTGAAGTAAGTGGTATTATCCCGGTTTTGTAGGGGAGGAAATCGATGGAAAGACTGTGTCACAGCTGTGACTTTCTTCCGAAGGGGAAGACCATTTCCAAACCAGATTTATCTGATGCCAAATGAATGAAAAATAAATTTTCCAGAGAAATTTCTTGTGCTTGGCTACTTGAAAGATCACTTTATACTTTCCGGAAATGAGTATTAGACGTTACGTAGCCATTATTTTCTTCTTTTTTTTTTTTGGAGAGACCTCTTTGTTTAAATATAAGTAGTGAAAGGATAAAGCTAATGCCCGTACCCAAGAGTTACCATGATTAATCTTAGGGCCAATCTTGTGAAGCAGGTACTATTATCTCCATTTTGCAGGTGAGGAAACAAGTCAGAAATGTATTAAGTAACTTGTGCTGGGTGACAAATTACAAGAAACAATGAAAGTATTATATCTTATTCTTTCTAAACAAGTTCTAAGTGAATACAATTGACTTGTATTTTCTAAGATTATGTTTATTTTTAAGGCTTTTTTTTAAAGCACTGCCTTTAGCTTGCAAGCAATTGATTTTTTTTTTAAAGATTTTATTTATTCATGAGAGAGAGAGAGAGGCAGAGGGAGAAGCAGGCTCCCCAGGAGCAGGGAGCCCGATGTGGGACTCGATCCCAGGACCCTGAGATCATGACCTGAGCTGAAGGCAGACGCTTAACCATCTGAGCCACCCAGGCACCCAGCAATGGATTTCAATACCAGAATGTAACTCTCATTTGAAGATAAAGTGAGAACAAGTACTTGGGTTAGAGCTAAAGAAATTTGTGCTTATGAACAGTAACTAAACAATTGAGAGGCTCATAAACACACTGCTTGGCAAACTGGAAGGTTATTTGGTTTAAAATGTTACTGATTTTGTAATAACTTTGGTGACAGATGGTAACTACACTTACGGAGGTGAGCATTTAAAATTTTTTATTTTATTAATTTTTTTACTGATTTTGGAAGAAACAAATTTAAAGAGAAATATGGAGACTCTTGTCCCCAAACATTTTGGTAATAATCAAGAAAAAATGAGAAAATGTAAGTGATGACTTCACTTCTGGATTTTCTTACAATTTTCTTTTTTTGGGGGGGAACAAATTTGTTAGCAATTCCCACCCATTTTTTGGATAAAAGAACAGGTAATTACCTAGGAGACCAACCATCAAAGGAACAATGCTTGACACTGGATTTCATGTATAAGTACGTGGCAGAAATACACATAGATGAAGAAAGAAAGGAGAAGAACAGCAGAATGGAACACAGGTTGTCCCTGACGATAATTATTTTCCAAAAGAAGAGGTGAGTAATAAAGTACATGAATGATTTGAAATGGTTCTAAAATTTTAAATACATAGGAATGAATTCATTCAGGAAAGAGGAAAGTAAATTAAAAATTTATAAGGGTTGCTTTCTGCTACTGCAGTGGAGTAAGAAAGCTTTATACTGGAAAAAAAGGGAAGGCTTTGATATGCCCTGGTTGGAGGCTGTGTGGCAGGGGAAAGCTATAGGTGGGCTACTGTAGGAGAGGTAAAATTTCTCCTTTACCCTCTTAGAGTCTCTGGCTGGGACTAATAATTAAACTGATATAAGACTTATGTCAGGAGGGCGCCTGGGTGGCTCAGTTGGTTAAGCGACTGCCTTCGGCTCAGGTCATGATCCTGGGGTCCCGGGATCGAGTCCCGCATCTGGCTCCCTGCTCAGCGGGGAGTCTGCTTCTCCCTCTGACCCTCTTCCCTCTCGTATTCTCTCTCTCTCTCTCAAATAAATAAATAAAATCTTTAAAAAAAAAAAAGACTTATGTCAGGAGACATAACAGGAGAAAAGCATATACATTTTATTTAGTATTTCTTACATGTACATGGGACCCATCACAAGAAAACTCAAGAGCCCAGTAAGATAGGACTGAAAGCTTATATAATAGGTTGCACAAAGAGTAGTGAATTTTGATAATGTAACAAAGGGATTTGGGCTGGGGCAGTTAATTGTGGGAAAGTAACTAGGAACATAAGGGTTTAGTTTAATAAGGTTTGTCTGTACACATTTATCTCAGCTTCAACTTCCCGTCGCTGGTGATAGGAAAATCCTACTGGTATAGGGAGGGTACCTTTCACATGAGAGTTTTATTTCCTGCTTTCAGGAAAAAAAAGGAAGGTTAGAGGGCCCTTCTTGTATATGCTTTTTTTTTTAAGTGCCTTTAACTCAAAATAATATGCCAAGATGGCATATTTGGGAGTGGCATGCTCTGACCCCGTATTCTTCCTAGAAGAGGAACATCCTATGAAATTGGTTAGGGGTGCATATTTGCTTTCTTTGGTTGGTTGGTCCTAAATTGGAAGCAGGGAAAAATATTAGGAAAGCTGTCAATTGTTAATCAAGTCCTGGCTATCATGGGACAGTTATTGTGAAGTTTTTGTTTGGCTTTCTGGATTGTTTCTAGAGATAGCAGTATGACTTCCTACAAGTATGACTTCTAGGCTGCTTTTCCTGGCTGGTTACTGTAGAATAATAGGTTGATTTCCTGGGATGGTTACTGCAGATTTTAGGTCAGAGTCCTATTGTCCATTTGTGTATTCAATCTCAGCAGGTAGAGGAAAGGGTTTGTTCAGGGCCTTATTACAGAAGAAATAGGTCATGTTGGAAAAATTGGAAGGAGGTCAATATGGCTGATGCGTAGAAAATAGGGAATGAATGGTGCTAGACAGGGTTGTGAGAAATGTAGCTGTACATAGTTATGTATGGGGCACTTACTGTGTGCTCGGGGCTGTCAATGCCCTCCAACCATAGACTACCAGAAAACTCCTGTAGTCACGTGATTATTGAGACTAGGGTATGTCTCAGTAAAAGGATGCTAAAACCAACTTATTTATCATAGGATTTGGGCCTTGGTGATTTGGGGATGTCAGGAATTGGGGATATTCTGAGTCTGACTGCTGGTTAAAAACCTATGGGTAGGGGCACCTAGGTGGCTCAGTTGTTAAGTGGTTGCCTTCGGCTCAGGTCACGATCACAGGTTCCTGGATGGAGCCCCACATCAGGCTTCCTGCTCAGCGAGGAGTCTGCTTCTCCCTCTCCCTCTGCATACTCCCCCTAGCTCATGCTCTCTCCCTCCACATCAAGTAAATAAAATCTTAAAAAAAAAATCTAAAACTATGAAACAAAACAAAACAAAAATACCTGTGGGTGATTTTTCACACCTGACCATAGCAATTAAAAAGGATTTACCTAGCAGGCTTCACAGGGGAAAACTGCCCTCCCCATACCAGACTTGGTGCACAGCCAGTGCATTGCAGGCTCTGAAGAGAGTTGCCGTCAGACTCAGCCCCTGCTGGCTGGCCATGCTCTTATGTATAGTTGCATTCCTAGCCAGGTGTCCCCATTTGGAGGTCTTCTTATCAGGAAACTGACCCACTCTCTCAGTACCCAGTACTTTTCCATTCCTACCACCCTTTCTTCCCCACCCCTCACAATGGCCTAGTTCCATAAATCTGCAGAAAACACTTGTTAGGGACCCCCTCAACAGTGAGATGACCCCCAAGTTTGCGCTGATCCACTTGGCCCTCAAACAGTGGGAGAATTGATTCCATAGGATAATGGAAGTGATTAGAGCCTTCACCGTTAATTCCGCTTTGGCTCATTGTTGCTTTAATTGCCTGCTTTGACATCGAGCAGCTCAATTCTCTCTCTAGCTTATCTGAGCACAAATGCTGTGATTAGGTATCTTAATACTTATATAGAAGGTGGAAGGAAAAAGGGAAGCTCATGATATAATTGGTAAAGAAGGCGCAGTCACTCAAAATAGGTTAGGGAGGTATTTGGTCATTTTGTGGCTTGGACAAACTTCTTGATTTGTCTGAGTTCAGACACTAATACAGAGTTGTTTTGTTTTTGTCTTGATCCTTCAGGGACACTAAGTGGCCTTGTCTGATGTTGGTGTGCTGTGAAATGGTTTATAGTCAACAGGAGAACCACATGGCCTTGCTGTGAGTGCCAGGACAGCTCCTAACAACAGCTAGGCACAGTTGATAGAGCCCAGCCCAATTTCAGGCTCTTAGAAGCTTCTTTTCTTTCTTAGGGCTAAACATTTTATATAGATTATTTCATTTAATTCTTACAATGTGTTGTTATCCTAAATTGTAGGTTACTATATCTTCACTTTCAGATGAAGAAACTATGACTCAGAAAAAGTTACAGGAAATACCTAGGTTACACAGCTAGGAAGTGGATGGAGTTGAGATTCTGTCCTGGGTGGTCAGACGTAATGAGCCATTGCTGTAGATCGCTATGCTTCACAAGATACAGCTCAAAAAAGATAAGTAGCTAAATAGAGCATTTACGACCTACTCGTTATAGAGTAGAGAGAGGCAATGAAAAGATAGATACAAGGAGATTCTAGTTTTTTTTTTTTTAAGATTTTATTTATTTATTTGAGAGAGAGAGAGCACAAACGGTGGGGAGGAGTAGAGGGAGAGGTAGACCCCCCGCTGATCAGGGAGCCCTGTGCAGGGCT